ATGTATTCAACAATATCTAAGCAAAATCAACGTGTATTAATTACAGAATTTTACAGAGTATAATCTAGTGGCAGAAAAGTAAATATGTTTCCAGTTTCTGACTATTACAAGTAACACTTCTATGAACATAGTTCATAGACCTTGTATGGTGAAGCATCTTTCAGGTGTATGCCCAGAGTGGCATAGCTGGGTCTTGAGGTATGGCTATTAATAGTTTTCTGAGAATGCACCAGACTGATTTCCAAAGTTTTTGTTCAAGTTTGCACTCTTACCAGCAGTGAAGGAGGGTTCCCCTTTCTTCACATCCTCTCCAGCATGTGTTGTCACTTGAGTGTTTTTATCTTAGCCATTCTGATGGGTGTAAGGTGAAATCTCAGGGTTGTTTTGATTTGCATTTCCTGGATGACTAGGGATTTTGAGCATTTCTTTAACCATTCAAGATTCCTGTTGAGAATTCTCTGTTTAGCTCTGTATCCCATTTTTTAATTGGATTATTTGTTGGTGTTTAATTTCTTGAGTTCTTTATATATTCTAGATATTAGCTCTTTTTCAGATGTAGGATTGTTGAAGATCTTTTCCCAATCTGTAGACTGCTGTTTCATTCTATTGATAGTGTCCTTTGCTTTACAGAAGCTTTTCAGTTTCAGAAGCAACCATGTTCATAGCAGCTTTATTCATAATAGCCAAGAACTGGAAATAACCTAGATATCCCTCAACCAAAGAATAGATAAAGAAACAGTGGTACATTTACACAATGAAATACTACTCAGCCATTAAAAACAAGGAAATCATGAAATTTGCAGGCAAATGGATAGAACTAGAAAAGATCACCCTGAGTGGGGTAACACAGACCAAGAAAGACACACATAGTATATACTCACTTATAAGTGGATTTTAGTCATATAGTACAGGATAGACATACTACAATGTACAGACCCCAAGAAGATAAGCCTGATGGATATCTTAGGCTTCATGTTGGCCCACTAGTTGGGGGAGTATGGGATATCTCTGTCGTGGACTCTGTTGCCTGCTTTTTGATCACTTCCCCCTGATGGGACTTCCCTACACAGGGCAGGAAGATGAACTCAGTCCTCATGTGAATAAATGAGATGGGATATCTGGGTAAGGGGGGCTCCCCTATTCTGATGAATCGGAGAGAGGGGATGCAGGAGGGGGTGCAACTAGAGGAAAGGAGGAAGGGATCTATGACTGAGATGTAAATTGAATTAATAAAAAAATTCAATATAAAGGTTGAGTTAATAATTTGTCAGGAATTTGTATATGTGTAAAGAATTGAGTACTTTTTCATCACTTAGACATTAATGCTCATGCACTGTCCCCCTGGCACATTCATCTGGTTAAAAAAAAAAAACTACTCAATGCCTTATTTCACAAACTCCGGAGAATCAGAACAAAAGGTTTTCTGTGGAGCTGGGTGAGCTGGCACCCACCTGCCATCCCGGCATTTGGGCGCTGTGGCAGGGAGGACAACCGCAGGTTTGAAGCCAGCCTGGGTGGGCCATTAGCTAGGCCCTATCTCAACAACAAACAATGGCTTTCTATCATTAAAATCATTATAGGAAATACTCTGGAACAAAAACATTACAAGCCAAAAATCTTAACATGAAAACTAGTAACACTAAAGGAGAGTAAAATGAAATATTCCTGCCAAAAGTCAGATAAACTAGCCAAGGAGAAACCCTGCATAAACCCCAAAATGAAGGACTTAACTATAAATTAACTTGCCTTTACTACTGAAAAACATCTCAGAAATGAGGAGCCGGTGATATAATGACGACTCGGGAGGTAAAGGTGGTATTTATGCAAGTCTGATAGCCTGCGTTTTGTCCGTGGGACCCATATAAAGGTGGAAAGAATCAGTTCCACAAAACTGTCTTCTGACCTCCATATGCACACACGCACCCCACCATCCCTCCAATCCCCCCACACACACTAAGTTATGAAAGCTGAAGACAAAATGAGAAAGTTCTGTAGACTAAAAGAGGTGACAACTACATGCAGCTCTTGAACCTAGCTTGGAAGTTGACCCAGAATGTACTCATGCGTTTGCACACCAAGTCTGGAAACAGTGGCAGATTGCCCAAACATATGCCACCAACACTGGTTGCCTATCTGGTCACCAAACTGGGGAAACATAAGAAAGTGTTCCTAGAAAATACACACTAAGGAATTTGGGTGCTGACACTTTCAGCCAACTCTGAAATAGAGAGAACACTGTGCTAAGTGAAAAGAAACTGCCAATAAAGAATTCTGAGAAGGTTTAAAGAGCTCATTACCCTGTCTTTGAAACCTGCCTGTATGTTTGAAATGATTTCAAAGCAAAAAGCAAGCAGAATATTCTTTAAGCTGACATGGGAATACTAAAAATATAAAACCTTTAGAATATTTAAAAAAGGAACCACTTTTGTCTTTTATACAATTATACCAAAACATGAACAAATCTAATTTTTCTTTTTATTAAATGCCTAAGAAATTATACCATTGTGTTCCTAAGTTCTTTTAGGAAGAATTTCTTTCATTTTTATGTTTTATTTGGGGGAGGGCATGCGTACACCACTGCAGGTGTGAAGGTCAGGGGACAACTCTGTAGAGCTGGTTCTCAACTTTTCACCTGTTGAGGCAAGGTCTATCTTGTTTCTCCCAGGCTGTGTACTCCAGTCTCACAGCCTGGGAGTTTCCTGTCTGTTTCCCACAGGAATGCTGTGAGGAAAGATGCATGCTGCTCCACCAGGCTTTTATATGGTTCTAGGGATCCAACTCAGGTGTTCAGGCTTTCACAGCTAGCACTTTGACCCAGACGACCTTTCTGTTGCTTTTTGCTTGTTTTGTTTTTGTTGGTGATGGTGGTTGCTTGTTTATTTTTTTATCGGCTGTATAATGCAGACCTGTTGGCGTCAGAAAATACCTCACTTGAAAAGCCCAGGTACTCACTTGAAAATGCTTCAGATGTTGCTTTTTGTAGTCACCCTTACCTTCCACGGTCCCTTAAAGGCTTATTTTCTCAATCTTATAACTGCTTTTCACTGAAGTAGCTCAAATACAGAATGGTGTCCTGACAGATACACCGAACGAGAACTTTGCCACATCATCATATTGGCAACACACTGTGTTCTGTTAAAGCATATATAATATTCCACATGTGACCTGATAATTGTGCCACAGGGTTTCTGTGCAGGACAAAGACAAGAGAGTGCGAGCTGTCCCCATGAGAGTGGGCATGTAAGAGGCTCAAGAGAATATCTGTGAATGAGGAAGGTTTCTGAAATGGGTGCGGCAGTAGCAGCATGATAAACAGATACACAGAAATCTCAACGTGCAAAAACACTTCTGAAGGTGAACAGATCTCAGGCAGCAAAGGCTTTCAGTGAAGATGTATTCATATTTATTCTATTATTGCTATTTTTGTGAGTTGGAACTATCAGGGCTCCTTACTATATGAAATCAGCATTAATACATGAAAAAATCTTCTATTTGCATATTATATAATTTATTGTTATCAAGCTTATATAAAGAACTGTCAGAATTTTAGTGTAAACAAATATAATTGAATGTTGCTAGCAATAAAATTTCTGACCAAAAATATGTATTTTTCAAATTCAATGAAATGCAAATTATATTTGATTCAAGCTCTGGTTCACAAATCAGGGTGACTTTAGGAGAAATTCAGGGATGCCATCATAGCACAGTGAATTTCAAATAGATTTTTTTTTCATTTTATTATACAAATTGACAGTTTAAAATTCTAAGAGATACCAAAATAATTATAAAACATATTTTTAGTATCGTAATATAATTCACTGTATACTTTAAGAATTCATTTTTATTAAAGTTAATTATAATTCCTATTTCACGATAGTCTATAACCGGAAGTGGAGAAGTAGTGCAGCTTTTTGGAGGAAGTGCAGACTGAATGAATGCATGCTTTAGGAATCTGATTGAAGATAATTTCACAAGACAGGCATTTAATAAATGTGAGCGTCACCCACAAAGGGTAAGTTCCCAAATTTTTTTTCATCAAAAAATTTAAGATAAGCTGTATGTGGTGATTCATACCTTTAATCCCAGCACTCGGGGAGGCAGAGCCAGGCAGATCTCTGTAAGTTCAAGGCCAGCCTGGGCTACAAAGTGAGTCCAGGACAACCAGGGCAACATGATAAAACCCTGTCTCAAAAAATCAAAAACAAACAAACAAAAAATTTCAAGATGAAAACTGCCCAAGCAGTGCCGAAGAGAACGACAGGTATCCGTCAAGAGTTAATGGCCTAGGACACAGTGCTCACTCGAACACTCAGCAGCAAAGGGGACGAAAAGTGCGATGTGACCAAAATAGCACCTTTGGGAAAAATCAAGTCGTTAATAACAAGTCTACAGAACAGTTCTGACTCACTATATGCAGACTTTCCATAGGTGCACACAAACCAGCCAGTCTGAGTGTGCTGTCACACGCCGGCTGCAAATACACACAAAAAGAACACCTACATCTGCATAGCTACAGTAGAAAACAGGTTCCTTCTCTTACCACAGCTACATTTGCTCTAAACTAGACCAGTAAATCAGCTTATTTTAGCGTCAGAGGGAAGCCTTTAAAGACCCTATGTAATTAAAGCAAAAGTGAAGAACGCCAGTAAGTCTTTCTCCTAACCATGGGGTCAGCGGCTTTATCATGAGACTTTCACTCCCCCGTGTAACTCTGAATAAAACGAATGTTTCAGAAGACAGCTCGAAGTGCTTAGTTATAAAGCACCACAAAGGATTTTCATACCACTGTTCTATAAGCTAATTCTACAGGTTATAGCAGCTATCTCAATCAAATATCTAGAAACAATTAATCTGATCAGATTTTTCTACTAGCCGGTAGGCAAAATAAATGCCTGCAATTTGTCTAAAATTTGTCTTAAAATCCTTACAATTGAGAAAGCTGTTCTTGAGTGACTAATGCAAATGAAGGTTAGTTTTCTCAATAAGCAATTTCAACAGTCTAGAAGGATCTTCAATAGATATTTTTCTGGGCCTGAGGATGCCCCTCGGTGACAGAGCACTTGCTTGGAGTGTCCAGGATCCTGGGCTGTGTGTCTCCACCAACCCCAAACCCTCTCCCAAAGAAAAGAAAATGGTTACCAACTGTGGAATTTATTTGAATATTTTTTTTGTTTCTACTTTACATCAAAAGCTTACTACAGAAAATTATGTCTACTCTTTCAGATATTGATATTAATCTGAAATGTTCCCCCACTATTTGAAACAATGGACTAGGGGTTGTAATACATTATCAATCAATTTTTACATTTTTGTATTGGCTTTCAGTTATAAGTAAAATATAAATGTCATTGGTAGGTACCATGTTAAATTAAACCAATTTCTACCTATTGATTTTGAAGGCCTTGGGCATATTTTGTAGAAAACATTAGTAAAGGTAACGAAAATTCCTTTTCCCAGGTAATATATTCAACTGTTTTCTAAATGACTCATCCTCACCCATCACCTACCAGTTCAGAATATTTGCAGCTTTCAAAAACAGATGCAGCACAATACGAAGAACATACTGGCAAACACCATGCTTTTCCTTATATTTCAAGAGACAATACAATTCATGGTATTTCACGAAGTTGTTTATTCTTGTTATTAAAACTTGGACTCAAGTAATCCGGTTTTTCAGGAAAAAGCACCTTGTTTGTAGGGATCATTTAATCGTCCTTCTCTACAATCACCTCACCATGAAGCACCTTTCTTCTTTGACGTAACATATGAAAATAGAGTTGAGGAAACACTTAATTGGAAAAAGAAAACAAAGAAGGATAAGGCATTGCTTTAAACTGCTTGAGCCTGTAAAACACGAGAGCTCAGCACTTATACATGGCTACTGCATACACAACCCACCCCGGTGCTCATGGCGCTCCGGCTAAAGCAAAGAATGAAGCTCACATGCTACGTAACACACAACCGAGGGAGGTTGCTCTCTCATGCCAAGTTCATATACCTTGATAAATATATTCTCCACAAGGACCTAGATGGCCATGTTTGTTTTCAGAAATCAGTAACACAGAACTATATCAGAACCAAGGACAGCAGCCCCACGCTGCCTGCTTTCCTCTGTTCTGTTAATTCCATCTGGCTCCAGGAGCACCCACACGCACATGCATGTAACTGTCCCAACTGCATCCTTACTCCATACCCACTATGAACAGCGGCCCATACTCCCAGAACAACACACATTAGTGACATGGTTACCCTTAGATCTGGAAAGAGGCTGGCCCTGGGCCATGCTCCCAGAGGTGGTGTCTAGGGAAGGACCAGAACAGGGTCCTGATCTAACACTCCCACAGCTGGCCTAGGGGCTTCTGCCATGCACACATGCAAGCATGTGCACAGATCACACCAGCGGGGTACATGATTATCTGTGCAGCAAATTTGAAGAAAATTTTGAACCAATATGAATCAAGACTTCCAATCACAGCATAGAGGCTGGTGGCTGCACAAGCACACGCCAGCTATGAAGTCCAAATGTAAAAACATCCCAGAATAACCAAGCCAAGGAAATCCATCACAAAGACTTCCAACGTCTTCCTCAAGCAACCATCGTCAACATATATACCACTGGTGGTGGTGTTTTCAAAAATCACTTTTTTAAATTTAGGTCAAACATTCCAAGAACACAGAATGGCTTTTTGTTTTGTTTTGTTTTGTTTTAATTTATGTCCTTCGTATCTTGATAAATGAAGTCTTATTACATCTTTGGGTCTAAACATTCAGGTCATGTACATTTAAAGCAAAAAAGTAATTATGAGAAATTTTCCCATCAAATCCCGAGTAGTGTAATAGAAGGCACTACCTCCTTGGTACTCTTAAAACTGTTCACTGAAATTCTCCCATCTGGAAATTTGTGAGTGAGAAATATAACTTCTCAGCACTAAAGGAGGTACTCAAATGTTACTTTCTTTAAAGATTTATTTATTTATTTATACAGTATTTAGTATTCTGCCTGCATGTGTGCCTGTAAGCCAGAGATAGGGCACCAGATCACAGTATAGATGGTTGTGAGCCATCATGTGGTTGCTAGGAATTGAACTCAGGACCTTTGGAAGAACAGCAAGTGCTCTTAACCTCTGAGCCATCTCTCCAGCCCCCAAATGTTACTTTTAATTATCAAAGTAAAACCAGTTGATATCTCTACTAATATCAGTAAGGGTGTGGAAACACGGGCCTCTGACAGACTGATCTCAGGCAACTGGTTCTTCAGTGAGCACAAGGAGCGAGGTACAATGAGCTAGAAGTAGCTACGGGCAGAGGTCAGACCTACACCTTTGAGGACGCCTGAAAGGCAGGCGTTCAGAGGTTACAGGTTTGACGCTTCACGTCATTCTCTAAAGAGTTTGGTGTCTATGGAATAACCTCAGAGGTCACAGGGGAAGCGACCACAGGTTACGTGAGCTCTGATTCTGCTTGCGGCATCCTGCCCCTACCTAGACTCCTATAAAGCCAGGGGTGTGACAGCGTCCGTCCATCTTTTTAGCACCAGCACTGGCTAGGTGCTAAGTCAGGCTAATGTGGGAAAAGACAAGGAAGAAACATCCCCCGAATTCTGTTTCTGTTTTGGTTTTAGAAAAGCTCCAAAGTTGGTGCTCTCGTGGACCAGCCAAACCATATGCACATCCCCACGAAATAAGAAGCCTGATGGCTTCTTCTGTCTGCAGAGAGCTCAGACTCTGTAAATTTCTCTTTCCACCTTCTACTTCCCGCTGACACCCCTTATTTTAATGAGAAGACAAATGAATTTTGTCTCCCTCTTTTATTTGCTGCTAGTGACTGACAAACAAACAATCAACTTAAAAGTATATCACTATTAGTGCCTAAAAGAAGAGAACAAAGTCTCATGAACACGTTGAAACTGCTGAAAGGTGGTGAGAAATTAGTGGAGAGGCTGAATTATTCAACATGGTTTACGAAAAGCAGCTTTATTTCTGTCAAGTACATGAAACAACACAAATAAGACTAAAAAGCACTTGTAATAAGACTCCATGTGTGGTAAACGGAAAAAACGATCTCAGGTTTTCTTAATAGAATGCATATGATTCATACACAGAAACCTAGCGCTTGTCAATAGTCCTACAGATGCACACTTTTGAAATGATGTCATTTTTGTTTTAACTATACCAAGCATATTTAAATGCTTTTGAGAAGGCAAGCACTTGAATATTAATTCACTTACCTTTTCACATACTCAGTAAATTTTTTTTAAAAAACCTGACTCACTTCCCTTTAGTTATTCTGAAGATAGATGTGTTAATCTCACTTTTAAATTAGTTTATCGTGGTTTCCAAACACTTGCATATTATGCATTAAATCAAAGTACTAACAAGCCTATACTTACATGGTATATATGAGGCCATGGTTATGAGAAGAAAATAGTAGTAGTCAAAAGAGACATTGTATTTGTTAGGAAGCCTGACTGAAAACATTCCTGATTTCTTCACGTAAGGCAAGGCAGCATATATTGTGAGAAGTTCCCCAGCAACTCCAACAGGATATAAGATGATAAAAAAATTATATCTGGAGGAAAAAAAACAACACCGAGATTGTTTTTCTAAAACAATTATTGTATTTTATATCACAGCACTTCTATTACTATCATATTTTAACTTGGAAATCGCTCTGTATGCATTTATAATATAGCACATAGGTTGTTGATTTAATCAGATGCTTGTTAATCTCATCCTTTTCCTAACAGTAATTCCTATTTTCAGTGACAACACAAGAATAAAATAAGAAATCAGTTTACTCTAAACTGTATTAAAATACTTTTATAATATATTTTAAAGTCTATACAGGTTTTCTTTGTTTGCTTTGAGATATGGAACTGTTGTATTGGCCAGGTTGGTCTCGAATTCCTCCTGAATTCCTCCTGGCCTCAAGTGATCTTCCTGCTCCAACCTTCTAGTAGTTGACATCACAGAGTGGCCACCGTGCCCAACTCTACACTTTTTTTTTTTCATTTAAGTGGTTTTTTTAATTGCTTATTTGAGATATCTAATCATAGCTGTTCCTTTTCCCCCTATAGCTGGTCATTTACTGGTGAATGATGAGCCTTAAGAAGGCCAATTAGAACCCTACTTTGATACTTTCACCTTCAAGTGACTAAAGCAGGTATTTTAGGTTATTTGGAAAACTTTGATTACTGATTAAACATACTTACTACTGCAGAAAACTGACAGCTCAACTTCAATCACCAGCCACTGGTAATTAACACACAGTACACAACCACCTTCACAGCAAGCAGAATTTTTATGAAAGTCATCTGTGTTTCATTTAACCCCCAGCTGACATGAAGAAATATCTATAAAGAAAAGTCATGTAACTCGGTGCAGTGCTTGCCAAGCGTGTACCAGGGCTGAGTTTGATCCCTGGCATTGCATAAACCAGGCATGGTAAAGTACACCTGTAATGCCTTTGGAGATAGAGACAAGAGAGCATAAGTTCAGAGTTATCTTCCACTAGGCACAGAGTTCAAGGCCAGCCTGGCATACACAGTACTGTGTGTGTGTGCGTGTGTGTGTGTGTGTGTGTGTGTATGGTGGGGGTGGGAAGGGAGGACAAAGAGAGATACAGAAAAAGAAGAAGAGAGAGAGGGAGAGAGAGAGATGGTAGGTAGAGAAATGATAGAGAGATAGATAGGTAGATAGATGCGATAGATAGATAGATAGATAGATAGATAGATAGATAGATAGATAGATAGATAGGCAGGCAGATAGATAGATAGGCAGGCAGATAGATAGATGATAGATAGATGATAGATAGATAGATAGATAGATAGATAGATAGATAGATAGATAGATAGATAGAACAAAGATTGCCTCATTCCCATGTACTACAGACATATAAGGAGATGAGGGTGGAGTTACAGAGAAAGAAGGGGAAAGAGCCAAATGCTGTTCCTACTTATTCTGCTCTTGCTGTTCCTGTTCTCTTCACAGACTTGTATAATTTTTTATATTATTTAAATAAACATTTTTCACTTTACCTTTTAAAATCCTATAGCCAAACATTTTATAATCTTCTTTCAAGCAATATGCATAATCTATTTTTTTTTTTTACCCTCATGAAGGTCTCCAGTGATTTTTTTTTAAATAGTATTTTCACTCTCAGGCTGGTAAGATGGGACAGTTGGTAAAGGTGCTTTCTGTAAAGCCTGACAACCTGAATTCAATCCCTACGACCCACATAGTGAATGAAGAAAACTAACTCACCCTAAACTTGTCCTCTGACCTTCACAGGAGCATCTGGGATATGCAAGGACCCCAAAACACACACACACACACACACACACACACACACACACACACCACAAATCAATCAAGAAAATGTAACTGATTTTTTTCTTCTTTGTTTTATTTTCCCTGTTTTGTTTTTTGAGGAGACAGGGTTTCTCTCTGTAGAGTTGGCTGTAGACCTGACTGACCTCAAACTCTCGGAGACTTACTTGCCTCTGCCTCACAGGTGCTGACATTAAAGGTGTGTGCTACTACCATCTGGCCATCACTCTTAAATTAAATAGATAGCATTTAAAAAACGAGTTGAAGTTTGAGGCCAGCATAGTCTACAGAGCAAGCTCCAGGACAGCCATCTCTACACAAAGAAACCCTGTCTTGAATGAGATGGGAGTAAATTGCACAATTTATTTTACCTTACTTATACTAACTATGGAAAGCTTTGCTACCTTGGAGATTCCCAATTGTTACGTACAATTTCTTAGAGAAAATGTATTCCTGAAATTAAAATGAAAACATAACCCAACATAAAATTATTCAGGAACACTTGCAACTCATAAATAGAATCAAGGTGGTCAATCGTGATAGCAGATATAGATTCCAAACTATAAATAGAAATCCATTTCTAAAACAAAGTTTGATTTGAGAATAATGGCTTCCACATTTAAACCTAAATATGAATATTATTTTAACTTTGTTAAACAAAGTTGAAAAATATATTTAGATATTGAAATTTTCAAGAGTGTTTGGACATGAAACATAATTATTAATGATGATGGTGGACAAGGTGATACACACCTTTAATCCCAGCACTCAGGAGGTAGAAGCAGGTAAATTTACGAACAGCCTGGTCTACCTAGTAACTTCTTCTTTTTTTTTTTTTTTAATTTTATTTTTCTTTTTAGTTATATTTTGTTAACAACCTAGTAACTTCTAAGCCAGCCAGAGATACACAGTGAGACTCTATCTTAACAAAAATATTATTGATGATTACAATAAATGGTATATGTATTAGGACATATATTTCATGTTGAAGGATTTAATGTAAAACCTTTTGTTGCCGTAATTGTTAGACATGGCCTCACACAACACAGGCTTGGCTTTGAACTCACTATGTAGTAGAGGCTGGCCCTGAACTCTAATCTTCTGCCTCCACTTCCCAAGAGCTGGGACTAGAGGTATGCACTGCCATTCCCAGATACCAAACCCTTAACACTGAAGAAATGACAAAGGACTTCAACACAACAAGCTGAAACATGAAATAGCATTCTGTACTTTTCTAGAAATGTATAACATGCAAATACATTGCAAACAAGAAAGTCAAGAGATACTAAATAGGCCTGACCTCTACAAACACTCGGCGCAGCTACCTTCTTCAAGGAAACTGTGTGAGTGCGGTTCATGAACAGCGGTGATGTGCTGAGTTAGTATGTTTAAAAGAAACAGAGGTTCCAAAGGTTATCATGGAAAATGGAAATGACATGAGCTCTAAGACTAGGTACAACTGCATGCAAAGCTGCAAACCTCTTCAAAGACCTAATCCTTAAATGTGAACACGTTTTCACATAGAATAAGAGTAAAATGAACCTATCACATAACAGTGCAGCCTTCTTAAGACTAACAATCAATCAAGATATAATTTTAGAGCATTTTATTGGATGCAAAATTGTAAGTCACAAGTGCCTGAAAAGAAACCAAAATATTTTTAAAAATCTGAGTCTCAAAATTACAATCGGCAATGACACCCCTGTGTAATGGAATTATAAATAATTTTTAAAGTTTCATTTTCTTGTTATGTATTTATATATTCTAATTTAGTATCATTAAACATGTATGATACATGAGTTTTAATAAAAAGAATAATCATCTAAGAAAACATTAGGTTTTTAATATATGGGAACCTAGAGCGAGTACTAGCAGCCAGCAATTAAGCTTGTATTAACACAAATGTCAGAGGTTGCTTTGTTTTTAGACAGGTCTCTCTATGCAGTGCTGGCAGTCTCGGGCTTACTAGTTTGACCGGGATGGCTTTGAACTCACAGAAACCCATCTGCCTCTTATTTCCAAGTGCTAGGACGAAAGGCATGTGTCACCATCCAGGCTTAAATATCGTTTTTTTAAAAACAGAAACAAGATATATGGTATTGTCTCTAATACCTTGTGGCATTATTTATAGTATCAGGAGGCTGGGACGGACACTTTGTGGCAGTATTCAAGCACTAGAGTTGAAGTGCTAGACTGACTTACACTAGTGCTGATTTGAAAATGTACAAAAGAGAGGCTGCCTCCGCAGTGAAGAGTGCTTGCCGGTCTTGAAGAAGACCAGCTTGCTTGCAAGCAGCCTCATCAGGGGGCTCGCAAACACCTGGAACTGCAGTTCCCGGGGAGTCAATGCCGCTGGCCTCCAAGGACACCTGCGCCCCCCCACAGCACACATGTACGTACATAATTAAAAATAATAAACTAAATCTTCACGTAATAACACTCTGAGCACTCAGCTCATTTTGAGTAAACTTTATTTATTTTTAATTCCCCAAAATGTATTTAATACTTCCCAAAAGATAAAAATAAATGACCAACTGAGCTTACTCAGTTATGATTCGTGGGGATATTACTTAAGGACAGGATTTTACATGAATATACTTTGGTACTGTTATTGGCCGATGACCGTTAAAGTTCAGCTTTCGGAGCACGTGTTAGAACAGCGCTGGTGACTCAAGCGGCGGCATTCTGGCATCATGGGGCTGTGACACAACTTTAACTCTTATGTTAGCTCAGCACACGAAGTCAGCATGCACAGGGCGTGCGGAGCTGAAAGGCAAGACAATGCCACCTGGCCCATTTAATGAAGTGCGGCAAGTGGTCGAGAAGACTGAATGTGTAGAAGGAATAGCGAGTGATCTCGGTCACAGTCCAGGAAACCAGAAAAAGCACCACACTCTCTTCGTTCTGGATCTGCGGATTGGAGAAAGCCACAGTGCTGTTCAACCTCTGTCCTTTAGCTCGAAGAGATGCACATTTTCCCCTATTATTTATTGCCTTTCATTATAATGGAATACAGAGCACAATGAAGTCACCATCATGTGCCTGGTTATACATGTGGAACGTAACCACGTCCTGGAGTTGGAGTGGCTGACTACTTACTGACATCCCCCCTCGTCCCTCAGTCCAGCCACTAAGTGTAATGACTATCTTAGGACAGCATCATTGCCTTGCAAGCTGAATGGGAGCAATTTACCCTTCCAACTTCCTGCTGGTCATCAAATACACAAACTCCACTGTGGTTCTGTAGCCGTCTGAATGAGAATGGCCCCACAGGCTCATAAATTTAAAGCTAGAGCCCCTGTTGGGGCGACTGTTTTGGAAGGAGTGTAAGACACTGAGATAAGGCCTTGTTGGTGTGGGTGTGGCCTTGTTAGAAAAGGTGTGTCACTGCGGGATGGGTTTTCAAAAGGCCATGCCAGGCGCTCTTTCTCTCTTTCTCTCTCTCTCTCACTGCTCCAGCACTATGTCTGTCTGCTTCCTGCCATATGATAATAGACTAAACCTCTGAAACTGTAAGCAAAATTCCAATTAAATGCTTTCTTTAAGAAGACTAGCCTAGGTCATGGTGTCTCCTCCCAGCAATAGACTAGTAACTAACACAGATACCAACTCTAATCTGGCCATTCATCTTTGTCCCTAATATTTTTTTTTTCAATCCTAGCCTTATCATGTCTCAGCTGGACCATTACAGCTATTTCCTAAATCGGTTTTCCATTTCTTTATTCTCCTCTCACATCAAAATTTTCTTAAAAATAATACAAAGCTGGTGATGATGATGATGAAATCAGGTAAGTCATGGTTTAAAACTTAACATTGATCTCTCATTGCTTAACAGGCTAAAGAGGTAAATTCTAGCACCTGAATATTCCATAAAGGTCCTTATAACCGGAGCTCAGAAACCTCTACAACTCCAGCTACAGTGACTGAGCTCCCTTTCTCATATGGCGATGCCATACTTTGTATTAATTCCAGACTATGCTTGGAACTTCTGTGTCTTTACATGTGCTGATCCCTCTAAGTATTGATTCTAATCCAAAACCCCCTCTCATCTCTTAAGACCCAGCTGGTAGATAACAGTCCCTGCATACTTTCCTGTTATGGGTTGAATGTTAAGTGTTCCCCATAAGCTCATGTGCCCAACATGCCAGGTGCTGGCATTGCTTAGAGAAGTAATGGATACTAGCAGTGGGACGGCACCCAGCTAGAGGACATAGTTCTCTGGGGAGGAAGAACTCTTAAAGTTACATCTGACCCCTGGCCCCTTATTCTTTCTGCCTCCTGTCCTCTCTGCTATGAGCTGAGTAACTTGTGCCATGTTCCTGCTGCCAGTATGCTCTCCCTCCCCGTGGCACCAAAGACTACGTGCTGAAACGTCTAAAACCATGTCTACAATTAGTCTTTTCACCATTACATTGTTCATGTCAAACATATTGTCACAGTGATTCAGTCTAACCTCTCATACCTGCTCAGCTACTTGCTTACTTTCCCATTCGAACATTACTTTTGGATTAAGAGTCATCAGTCTGAATTGAAATTTTTTCTCACTCTTTTTGTTTGTTTGGTTTTGTTTTTGTTTATTTTTCAAGAGTGGGTTTCTCTATGTAGCGTTGGCTGTCCTCAAACTAGCTCTGTAGACCAGGCTGGCCTCAAACTCAGAGATCCGCCTGCCTCTGCCTCCTAAGTGCTGGGATTAAAGGTGTGAACCACCACCACTTGGCAAATTTTTCCTCACTCTTATACATCAGTCAGTGCTTGGCTTTCATATACCTTGTGTGTGGAAGCCTTCAATCACGTCCTAGAAGAGACTAAACTCTTGTTATATAATGTAATGCATACTGTGCTCTTGTCTCAAAGCCCATAAACCCAATGCAATGAAGTCAGCATTTGCCTAGCTTCTTATTTAGCTATTCTCCATCACAGGCCCCAGACAGTAAGGAACACGTTGGCATTGCTGACAGCCACACCCTCAGCAACGTCAGGCACAAAGTGGCTGCACTCTGCTACCTCTTGCATGACCAATGTGCCCCAACATCCAGCACAGTGAGCAATAAACGCTGGTTGAATTAATTAAGGAGCTGTTGGTAAGTGTCAATGGAAAGCTACTGTTTGATAAAATCAAATAGTAAAATCAAGGGATAGAACCTCTGGGGGGGATGAAAAGACCAGGGGGTCCTTTTCCCCTTAGGGATCTAACTTCTCTTTAACAGTTCCTCTCTAGGTAGCACTCTCTGGTTGTCTTTCTCCTCCCTCCTTCTCTGTAGTTCTAGCTCATTTATTATATTCATTCACTGTCTAGAGTGATCTTTCTGCTGTTCTGTAATTGTGGCAGTCTTGCCTTTCAACTGTAAGCAACTTCAGTGAACCCTTGATCTGTGTGTGAGGTGTGCACTCAGCCCTGTCTGTTCTGCAATCCTGGTTAGGGACAGGTGGTTCAAGTAAACTGAGAGAAAGATCCCAGTCAAGAGGGCTAAAAGTGCAGAGTAGTGAAAGGGCACATGGTCAGTGATCTGTCCCCACACTGACAAGAGGCCAGTGAGGCTCAGAGGAAATGGAGAGGAGGTTAGGTGGCAGTCCCAAAGCACAGAGGAGACAAGAAAGGAATCTACAGGATGGAAAAGTGGCCAGGGATCTGTCCTCAAGTGGACAGGAGACTACAGAGGCTGTCAAGAAGGTCAGAAGGGTTGAGCTGAGAAATGTTTCTGACATGGGTTTAAAGGTCCAGCGTCCTCAGAGAGACTTGCATAGTGTTTGTTTTGTCTACACGGTTGAAACAACTAATTAGATTCAGTAATTAAGTCTGCCTCCTGTCACGCCTCCACAAATAATGTGTCTATTCTTCTCTAAGTTCATCAACCTCAACTTTCAAATTTTATTTTAATTGGCAAATTAAAAATGCTTATATTTATGGTACATAACATATTGTGCTGAAATATGTATGCATTACAGAATGGCTGAATGAAATTAATTAACTTACACTTTACCTTGGCATAGTTCTCATTTATTTGGGGTAAACACTTAACATCTTTACTGTCAACAATTTTCAAGGAGACATTGTCAACAGCTGCAGTCACCCCATACAACAGCTCTCTTAAACCTACTCTTCCAGATTGAGATTTTGTAGCTTTAGATTTAAAAAGTACAACTTTTGATTCGGTGCTTTTTGGTTTGTTCAGATGTGTGGAACTACAGTTACTATTGCCTGTTGTAATAATGCCTTGTACTAAACAAGAAAAAGCCTGTGAGGCATTCACAGTGACAACCTCAAAGACTAAAAAAAATAATAACTTGGGCTTAAAAGGAAACATAATCGGAAAGAAAACTGCAATTGGATAGAAATGCGTGTTTACCCTAACATCTGGAAAACACAGGAGGGGAGCTGTTACAGTCAGAAGATAAAAACACTGCCCATTCTACGTGAGTGGAGAGTGAAATTCAAAGGCCACCTTCTCTTTGCCCCACCACTCTGCTCCCCAAAACACTTCAGTGTTAATACTTTAGGTCTCTAAGAATGAAAAGCTTCCCTGTGGCTCAAGTAGACAACATGTCTGCATCACTTACGGGTTTTATACTGTGAGTAATGAGCCATACCATGAAGATTCTTGAACTCACTTGGACCCCAGTCACAAGCACAGAAGTCGGTACAATTCCTGCAAGATAAACCAAGTCAGTGGTTTCCTTAAAGGCAGCTTATAACAATAGTATAAAATTCAAGCCAAAACTTACCAATTAGACAGTGGACTACCTGTAGAGAAATGGAGAAAGCACAAGTCAATAATATGAACACTAAACACTCAGCAGGGATAGCAAACAAGCCCGTAGGTATTATGTAATTAGCAAATTAGGATTCACATTATTCAATTGAAGTATTTCCAAATAAACACCACAGCAGACATATTGAAAAAACTTACCTCAAGCAAAGCAAATGTTTGGAAAAATTTAAGTGTCTTCTGAATGCTTTTATATAAACCTCTGTGTGTTCCTTTTTCCATATAAAAGCGTACCATAGCAATAGCTAGAACCAACCACCTAGAGAAAATAAAAGTATTTTACAAAGTTCTACCAAAACTAATATTACTAATATGTGCATGCAACTCTAGCAGCATTACTTACTATTAGCAATAGATAAAGGGAGGAAGCAACCAAGGTATTGATCCGGACTGAACAGATAGTTTATATGGTCTATGAATACTTTGCTTACATTTCAAAGTCATTCTACTATAGCACTACGACAATCTACAATACCTAAATTCAAGCCCACTTTTTTTTTTAACTCATTTTGTTCCCTGAAATATACCAACATTAATATTTTAGATTCCTATCCATGACAGTCTTTCCTGCAGGCTCAGAATGTTATTCTGATTTTTAAAACAAGAGGCTCCAATACATGCTTATGACATAGATGGACACCTTAGACATTTTACTGAGAGAAATAAGCCAGTCACAAAAGGGCAAATGCTGGATCCCATTTACATGCAGTACCAAGAGTTATCAGAGGTGGAGGCATGGCAAGACTGGAGGTTGCCAAGAGCTGGGAGAAAGGGCAAACTGGAATTAGTGTTTAATGGGTACGGAGTTCTGTTTTGTAGGATGGAGTTAGTGATATGAATGGTGATGACAGCTACACAATCTGTGAACGTACTTAATGCCACAGGACTATAAAATGTTACAGAGTTTAAGATGGTCCATGCCACGTGTATTTACCGCAATTTAAAAAACTCGTTAAACCCCTTGAAAAGAAATTCCAAAACCATGCAATAATATTTGTGTTTTATCATTATCTTAGTCCATTATTTTTTACAAAGAAGCTCAGAGGGAAAACACAGCAAATGGCCTTCTGTAGAACATACAAGGAGCCCACTACTGACAAAACAGTGGTGGTTTTGTTTTCAGCAATTAAAATGACTATCAGAAGTAGCTGTGTGTACTAAAAATGAGATGATCAAAGCATTTAATAATTATATAATGCCATAGTATCAGTTACTTCATATTTCTGTGATCAAACATTCTGATCAAAGCAACTTGGAGAGGAAAGGGTTTGTTTCAGCTTATAGTTCTAGGTCACAGTCTGTCATACAGGGAAATATGGGCGGGAACTGAGCCCAAACCCATGGAGGAATGACTTACTGTCTTGTTTCCTTGCTCAGTTGGCATTTTTACTAATACAGCCTAGACCCTTGCCTAGGGATGGCACCACCCACAGTGGACTGAGCCCTTCCATATCAATCATCAATGCCCCACAGACACTTCCAGGCCAATCTGATCTGGACAACTCGTCTGTAGATTTTCCTCTCTGTCCAGGCGGCAAGGTGACAATAAACAAACTAACCAGTACAAGTGCCAAAATAAAAAGCTGCCAAAAGCTACATTCAAAAGAAAATACAGCATCTAATTTATATAGGCACACATAGAAATCTTATTAAAAGAATCATTTATTTTCACTAAACAAATCAATGGCTGTGACATAGAAGGTCAGATACAGGCTTCTTTCAAAGAGTTGTTGCTGTTGGAAACAGGGTCTTACTATGTAGGCCTGGCTAGCTTTGAAGCCACTATCTAGACTAGGCTGGCCTCAAAATCATAGGGATCTGTCTAGCTCTGTCTTCCGCATGCTAGGATTAAGGATAGATGCTACCACACCTAGCCAAAAGTTGACTTTTTCAAAGAGAAAAGGAAAGAACATGGATTGACCCTAATCACCGTAAAGACATGTTAAAGATGAACTCTCCTCCATGAACTAACACTTACAAGCTACACTTGTGGCCAGCAGCTTTCTGGTACACACATCTCACTCTTCCTGGAGTTCCTGACGGGAGCTAACTTCTTCCTGGTTTCCGTCTGTACCCCTAAAGTATGCTGAAGTTTGTGAAAGCTGCCTTATCAGTAGCTTTTAGAAGCCTGGAATACGCCATCTATAGACATGAGTAGCTACCCTAGGCTTTAAGATAGGGAGGTATCAAAGCATGCGGTCAAATAGGTTTCTGCACTATATGATTATTATAGTTCAGGGTTTGTTTGTTTGTTTGTTTGTTTTTACTAAATAGCTTAAATGAGCAGATCACAACCTGTGGGTTGCAATCCCTTCAGGGGTCCAACAACCCTTTCACAGCGGTCACCTTAGACCACTGGGAAAACACAGATATTTACATTATGATTCATAACAGAAGCAAAACTTACAGTTATAAAGTAGCAATGAAAATAAGTTGATGGTTGGGGGTCACCACAACATGAGGGACTGTATCACAGGGTCACAGCATTAGGAAGATTGAGAACCACTGGCTTAAATGGATTCCTACAAAGACAGCAGTGACTAGTACAGGCTTGACAGAACCGAAGGACAGAATGACACATGCAGGATCGCACTCCCCTGCCCCTGCTGAGCATATGACACAGAGCCAAGTTAATGTCTAACCACATCAGACTTCTTACAGATTACAGCAAAGATAGTAAGCAGATCTTCAGACCTATGTATCAGACATGGCCGCACACTAATGTTTGGTCCTTGCAGTAAGCTTCTGAAAGACTATTTAATTTTACTGCTGAGAAAGCAGGCGCGGGGATAAAGAGCCAAGCCAGCTGAGACACAGAGCCCCCACTAAGTTCACTGAGCTACTGCACTGTTTTGGACTGGCTCCCGCTACTATGATTGCAGAATGATCCATGTTTACTTTATATGGTAAAGTCATGGAGAGACTGCTCAAATATTCTGATACTCTGACTTGAAAGAAGTTTGCAGGCCACTCTCTCAGATAAAGGCATTAGTTTGCTAGGCCTATCACTGAGGACATAGCTCAGAGGGAGACTGCCTACTATCCATGACGCCCTCAACTCAGTCCTCAGCATTGCAAAGTCCCCACGCCTCTGTCCTAGCACATCACAGCTTTCTTTGATTCAGCTTATGACCCCGCCCTCTATAAGCACCATTTCTGGAATCGGGACTGAGCTGATGCTAAAGCACTGACTGGACAGTGTGTAAAGCACCTTCCCAGCTCAAAACGTAATGACTTTAACAACCTCAGTTCTGTCCCCTACAGTTCTAGTAGGAAAATCAAAATGTCAGTGAAGACATTTTCATTTGCATTTTCCATATACCTGTCTTTTGTAGAGAGAGACAAAGTTTGACACCTATAAAATTTGAGAGGCAATTGCTAAGTTAACAAAACAAACAAACAAAAAACTGTCAAAGCATTGAGTGTTCTCCAGATTTCAAACAGCATATACATGGGGTTTCAAGTTTGGTACTGTCCAATAGGTGGCAGCATAGTACCAGCTACATACTTACACAGCCCAAAACAAATGCAGGTGGAAAGGACCAAGAGGGTATTTATTCTGATTCAATCTGTTTTTCAGTAAGCAAGGTCAAAACCTTATATAAACTAAACAGAGCTCATTTCTCAATCAACACCTTCACAAAGAGTGCCAGAAGTTTCTCTAAGAGGCCTACATTTAGCAAACTGTGGGTATCAGTTTAGTAATTAAAAAAAAAAAATCCATAAGCAACGGGGATTCTCCCATTAGGAATTAGTTTGAGGGATGTTCTGTTCTGTCTTGCTTTTAAATGTGTCAGGGATACTGGTTACATGAGCTCAAATAGATTCAGTCCGTCCTTGACAAACCAGATTCTCAAACCAAGTGTGACGGTGCATACCTGTTATGCTGGCATTCCAGAGGCAGAGGGAAGAGGATCGCTTCAAGTTCAAGGCCAGTTTGGTCTACATAGCAAGTTCCAGTCCAGCCAGGGCTACATAGTGAGATTGTCCCTAACTAACTAACTAACAAACCCACCCCACCAGATTTTCTTTGGGCAAACCCAAACAAAAACCGTTTCAAAGAGGTTTTCGCTTGCTTGACTCCACCCATTCATTTCACTAATTCATCTTTCAACAAGTATTATTAAGATAGGTACGTGCTAGATACAGCTGGGATACAGAGTTAATAAAATGTAACTAATAATAATAATTAAAAAATAGGTAGGTGCTAAGCTAGATACTGGGGACTAAAGATAAACAGGGCGTGATTTCTTTTACCTCAGGCACTAAATTAGCAAGTAAATATAACAGGACATAACTATATAAGGAACATACGCCAGGACCTATAAAACTAAAGGATGTTTTTGTGTCACTCTGGCTACCTTGAAAAGCTTATCTCTTTCTCCTAGCTATCTTCTAGCATTTCCTGTTCTTTCAGACACAACCTCCTCTTTGAAACACTTGGTTATCTATGTTCACATCTCCTTTGGAAAACTTCTATTAAAATATTTTTAATAGCAGCTTCAGACTTACACGAAGTTACAGAGAAGGAGGAAACGATGCCACCATGTGCCTGTCACTCGGCTTCAAGGATGACTATGCCCTGGTCAATCTTGTTCCACCAAATATTTATACTCTCTTACACTCCCCTGATTTGAATTAGACCCATTATACTCTCTAACACGGTCTTTAATGTCTTATTGCATGCCTCTAAAATTATTATTTTTTTTATAAGTGAAACTATAACCTCAGTATCCTACACAAAACAATAGCTTTTGGCTGTCATAAAACATTGAGGGGCTAGTAAGATGGCTGAAAAGGTGCCTACCACTGTAACTGGAGTTAGTTGTTTTGTGGGTTCTTCTGTCCTTCTTCATCCCTTTTCTCCCACCCTTTCAACCCCCTAAACACTATATGAGAGAGAGAGAGAGAGAGAGAGAGAGAGAGAGAGAGAGAGAAGAGAGAGCGAGAGAAAGAAGAGAGACCCCTAGGAAGAAAAGAGATCCCTGAATAAAGTCAGGGGTGGGAAAGAGGGTGTTGAGTTTCTTGGGGCAAGTTCGATCTTCACTATCAGGATATCTAATTTCTTCTTGTTTCTTCTTTGTGCATGACTACTTAACAAAGCAGGACCAACAACAAGCAACAATCGACCACACCTCTCAGGACCCTAGCATTTACATACCCTCTGAAAATCTCCCAGAATTCCAATCACAGAAACTAACTGCAGTTGGCAAAACCATGCCTCTGCCAGAGCACCAGGCAAATCATTGTCAGCTGCTG